GTCTCTTTAAGTGACTGAAATGCGCGCCAAGCGCCTCGCTGAAGGATGGAAGGTAGTTGTATCGGAGATTGAACTSTTCGCATGTCTTGCGTACAATCGGGGTGATCTGGGGATAGTGGATTTGCGAGATGCCTGCACTGTAAATGCGGATTGGTTAAAACAACCAAAAAAAATTGGTTGAAGTTTGAATCTGAGGTGACCAACTTATAATTGGTGTTTTCAACCCAATAAAAATTGGTAGTTTTAACCAATATAAAATCTATAGAATCAACCATAAAGAATTGGTCAAAATAACCATAGTTATGGTTAAAATAACCAATTCCAAATGGTCACTTCAACCAATTTTAAATTGTACCCAGGGTGAATCTGAGGTAACCAATTTATAATTGGTCGAACATGCAAATTCAACCAATTGTTTTAGGTTACTAATAAATTGGTCAAAACAACCATATTTTTATTTGGTTATTTGAACCAATAAAAAGTCTTCAAATTACCAATTTAAAAAAATGGCTGAGCTTACTAATTTATTTGTAACCATAAGCAATTTCAAGATTGATCTGCAAATAAAAACAAAACACAAACAAACATCCATCCAGTACTTTAATATTAAATCTTTAATTCACTCGCTTGCTTCAAAGATAAAATATTATCAATGCCAAGGGGAAGGGAGACTTGCTCTTCAAGTAATAGGTGCTCCAATAGAATTGTCAAAATAGAATTAGATGGCTTAAAAGCTACAAACGACCATTCCTTCTGCAACAAAGTGATTTAACATTCAACAAACTCCCTGTAGGTATTAGCCTGATGTAGACGTTTTCTTTATTTAAGATTTTGCATCACCGTGGTCCTGTAATAAACAATATGTCAGGATTTTTGTGATATTTTATAGCATTATTTTGACTTCTCTAATTCTATTCATGGTGTTTTAAGAAACTTAACAGATACTGTAATTCCCTGAGAAAACACTTACCAAAAGTACCTTCACCAATAGGTTTATCTTAATTGTTTGATTATAACATCCCCCTCACTGAACATTACACTGTTTGGTAAATCTATGTTATTTCCCTTATTGTGTACATTTTGGGCTTCAAAATAAATGGTACTTTCTTCTTTTACTCTCATCCATTTATAAAAAATATCAATTGGCAATGTTTTTGGCTTGGGAGTAGGACTTTTACATTTTGCTAATTTACTTACTCAAATCTGATATTTCTTTGGCATTGGAATTTGCCTGTGCAGCTTTTTTACGCTGGACTCTTCTCTTTCTGTTTTGCCTTACACAGTTTCTTCCCTGCTCCTTTGGGAATTTTTTTTGTTAGAATCTTCAAGCCCAGACTGCTGATTATTTGAAAGAAAAGTATTTCATTATATGCACCAAATTGCACAAAAAAATGGTTACCCACTAAACTTATTTGTACACAGGAATCTAGAAACAGCCATTAAACAGTATTACTGTATATATTCAAAATTACTAGCATAACTTTGATGTCTTAGAATTAATTGTATAAAATGCCAATTAAATGTATAGACCACAGTGTAATGTTAATATTAGCAGTCTGATGATATAGGAATCAACTACACTGATATATAATGCATGGAAACTTGAACACATAAATACAAATGTAATTTTTCAAATTATCATCATTAAAATTTAAAAATAAAAAAATTAAAATTGTTATATACAAAAACTGTACTGTATACGATAACAATATTACTATAATTCTGATCAATAAAGTCAGTGAAATTGCTTCCTTTTAATTACCAATTGATATTACACCAATTAGTACTTATCGGGTTTACTAATCAAAAGTTTACTATAAATTGATCCAAAAAGTTAACAACTCACAAACATGAGAAGCAATCAGATATGAGCACCAAGCAAGGCTGCTTGTAAAACAGCCTCAGCCAGGCATATACCAGAAGGCAAGCGCAAAACTTGCCTTGATATAACAACGGCTCCTGACATGCTAAACTCACATTGAGAATCATTTCTTTATCCTTAATTATTGTAGGGAACTACAAAAAAAACTCTGCTAGGCAACACAATGAAAGTTATCAATTGCACTGACCAAGAATCAGAAATTTAAAAACATTTAAAACAAACAAAATGGCTAGCTTGACTACAACAAAATAGAAACAAAACTTTTTGTTACCATTCTTCACATGTGAATGAATATAAGCCTGAAATATACAACCTATCAATTTTGTTGGACATCTAGCATAAATAAGATAGTGTTTTGGATGAATTTTATGACATTTACATCTTCTATAAATATTGTATTTGTTATAATAGTAGTCACTTGTGTAGTGCAATGCAGCTTACTTTGTTCAATGTGACCTGAAGCCTCGCACACATCATATACTTCAATGAAGAAATGATTACACAAAATATAAATTCCTTTGAAATAGCAATTGAAAAATGCATCTAGTAACAACAATTCTCAAAAATGAATAAAATTACTGAAGGTATATGGAATCACTCGAAGGTTAATAAATTAAGACTTAACTTAAAACAAGCTTACAAGTAATATTGCACAAAACTTGAAATGATCTCAAATCAACAAGTGGTGTTAAATTAAGCATTCATTTTGGTTATGATATCTTAAAGCTTAAAGATCATCGTACCAAACTAGATATTAATAGAATCATATAAGCTTAAGCTAAGCTTATGAAATCATATTAAGTTATAAGCTTCAATAATTTAAGGTTAACTTATAGCGACAGTAACTTAAGTCATGAATTGAATTTAAGCTTATGGAGAATCGATTACAATTAACTTATGTTAATGCTGCTAATATACTTTCAAAAATACCTTGGGCTTACAAGCAACTGTAGTGGATTTCAGTGTGGAGTACAGTTGTTTGTACTCTTCGGTGTTTCTGCTTCTTAGGTGACTTTTTCTACTTCCATTGCTTCGGAGTCAGACTCGATGCTTTTGTCTGTGAGAATCGGTGCTATCCTGATCATTCTAGATTTAAAACAAACGTTAGCTTGAATATTTTCGCTATAACTCATTCAAATCAACAACAAAAACATCCTCACATCATTACAATCCAAACTGGGAGTTGATCTCCCTCCTGTCGAAGGTGTACTACAAGTGATACCCTACAAGTAGCTTTACTCGAATTTTAGGACAAGTTGGTGTCCGGGAAGATTCAGAAGTAGTGGCCTCTCTTGACGTCCCTGATGGCTGAAAAAGAAGGAATAATAACAACTGTTTAACATGACAATTAACAGTTAGAATCAACAAAGCAAAAATTAAAGCTTATTTGAGATTTTTCTTCTAATTCCTGTGATTATAAAAACTGCAACTTCACACTAAACTGCTCCGACGACGGTTGATAAAATTGCGCCTTTTCATGTGCGCATGATTGATAGCAACCGCCGCTGAACAAAATAGTGCGGGCTTGTTCTTTTAGTTCCCGCCATGGGTTTCAGTTACGTCATCACAATTTTTATTTTAAAATATGACATTCATATCGTTTTACAGCATAAAAAGATACATAATTGACAAAAATTTAGGATTGTGATGGATGGGCTTTATAAAACGACAGAAATTTGAAGTTTTGTTGACATATTTCGTTATTATAATACTGAAAATAAAAAAAATACCTGAGATCTTTTGTATGATGGTCTGGATTGTATGAGCTCTTCCAGGCAAGATTGTACTCTTTCTTTGTCAAACGAAGGATCGAACGCGGTCATGACCGGAGGGGGGTCATTGGGGGGTCTCGAACACCGCAATACCGCGGCAAAGAAAAGTAAGATACTTCAAAAAATATTATAATTAAAATCAATTAATCACATTTTTTAGCTGTGATTATATAAACCATTTAAGGATTGGTCAAAATATAGCCAATACTTTTTGGGTTGCGATTATAACCATTCAGAAATGGTCAAAATATAACCAATTGGTTTTGGGTTGCGAATATAACCATTCAGAAATGGTCAAAATATAACCAATTGGTTTTGGGTTGCGAATATAACCATTCAGAAATGGTCAAAATATAACCAATTATTATTGGGTTGTGATTATAACCATTCAGAATTGGTAAATATAACCAACTGTATAGTATGTTATCATCACAACCAATTTTAGATTCATTATTGACATTATTCACACGATTATAATTGGTTAAAACAACCATTTTTAATTTGGTAGCATATTTAACCATTATAAAATTGGTTAATTTAACCAATTCGAATTGGTTATAACCAATTATAATTGGTTGTTTCAACCAATCTGCATTTACAGTGTGGGAACAAGTGGTGGGCTGCCTGATGATTGAGGGCACCTGGAAAGCAAAGGGAAGATGGATGATGAAGGTGAAGCTTATTGATGAAGAGCTATCGCATATTAAAATCTGAAGAGGCCTATATTACCTGTAAATGTATTACAGAACCAGTTGTCCGTGGCGTAGTCGAGRGTTGTCGCGATTTGTAGCTCCGCCCTATGAATATATAAACAAGTTATTTTTTTTGTAATTTTCAGTAATTCGAGTTACATCTATACTCAAATGTTCGATTAAAAACATTGCCGAGAATACTATTTGACAAAAGTTTATTTGTTTCTCTTACTCGTTTTAATTTTTGTTAGTTACCTTAACTCGAATTATGAGTAAGAAATTTGATTTACACAGCTGTTTGATCATGTATTACTCGTCCGTTTTTACAGTGTAAGTATAGCAATTTTTTTAAGGCCGAGTCAGGCAATCTTTATCAAATCTAAAACTAAATTCCTACCAGTCGTGGGGAACATGGTTGTCTTTATTTGGTTGTGGCCATTCAACCTACAACAAAGAATACACAGTAAAAGTACTAAAAATACCACAATGGATCTTGTTATTTATTTTACCAGAAGTTCATTTCATTGTATGCTGACTATGAAAAACYGCATGGATAACCTCGGGCCAAGTGCACTACCTCTAGGAGAGCGATCACCTTAAATGGTACATATAGCTGTTTCAAAAAAGGTTGTCGGATAAAATGGCGAATGTCAGTGGTCGAACGGCGATTGCACGACCGAAAGTAGCCTGAGTTCATCCAGCGTTTACCCGCAAACACGGTGGTTAATTTTGAAAATAAATCGGATGTACGCAGGCTAGACCGAAAGTAGTCATGGGTTTTGGTAGTTGAAAGGCAATAAGAACTGATTTATACTGTAAGATGGTCTATGGTAAACATTGGCTCCATTTAGTCTCCATCTCTCTCCATGATGAATCCAATAAGTGAATTTTTGTTTGTCAAAACAGTGTAACCATAGTCCGTTTCGACCGTGCAATCTCCCTTCAACAATCGCCGTTCGCCGTTCTCTCCAACAACGTTTTTTGAAATAGCTGTATATACCTTAAAGTAGAGCTGATCGCGAGGAAGAATGACACTGACATATTTGGATTCTTTCTAAACGTGGGCTTCAGATTGTTGATACGAAATCTAAGGCGAACATTTATATACGAGTATATACCAACTCAACTTATCAACTTACTTCACTGACAACGTGCGAGATCTGGAATATGAGGGCCAGATAGTACCCTACAGTTCCAGTCGMAAGAATATTAATCCACAACTGAAAGAAAATGTCAACATTATTTACGTCAATACTAATCAAGAACAATAGAATAGGGTTCTTAATAGAAATTCTCGCCCATGTAAGGGCCGGTTCACACTATAACATAAGCAGAAACCGAAGCAGAAGCTTGTTCACACTTGACAGAAGCATGTTCTTCTGCTTATGATAATCTTTCAACAGAAGCAGAAACCGAAGCAGAAGCTTGATCACACTTGACAGAAGCATGTTCTTCTGCTTATGATGTCCCGGTTCACACTCATAATCTAAAATAAGCAGAAAGAGAAGCAAAAGAAAATGAAAAGGTTTTCATTTTCATCTGCTTCTGTTTTCCCCGGTTCACACATACAAAATACACTTCTTCTGCTTCTGTTTCTGCTTCTGCTTATGTCACAGTGTGAACCGGCCCTAAGAGAAACCGAAATCTATTAAAAAAACAGCTTTGAATCCGGAATCCAATGTTTCGGAATCCAGCGTTTGAAATCCGGAATCCTCTAGTTCTCTGGATCACTGGAAAAAATCGCGCACCATAAAGGTTGTAAATTTGATGGAAATATGTTGTAAGTGTGCAAAATGATGTAAATTTGATGGAAATCATTTACATCAAATTTACATCATTTTGGACACATCATATATACATCAAATTTACAACATTTATAGCGCGCGATTTTTTCCAGTGAATTGTCTTACATGGGGCGAAAATTCCAGAACTAAACTTACCACACGTGAAAAGGGTAGAAATTTCAATGGGATGAGAACCCACAGGATAATGTACCATACTTTACCAAGCCAAAAAATGATATTTTCAGTGCGTGAGAAGCCGTTCATTGACATGGTACCTGTACAGAGAGAATGATTGGTCGTTAAAAAAAATCTATTTTGGATATTTTTTCTTCGTAACGTTAGACTTTTGCCGGGTAAATTTCGGATGCAGCGAGGACTATCTATTAGTAATATATCAAGGTCATTCAGGTTTGATTTATTCCAAATTGAAGTCATTAAATATGGCATAATATTTTCCTGCTATGAAGAACGACTCAATTCAGCCCTCAGTGGATAGGCATGTGTGCATGCATCAGGAGTTTCAGAGAACAATGCGTCCGCCACCTTGAAAAGTGGGACTCGAATCACTAAATTATAACTCCCAAAGAACTTAAAAGATTCTAAACTAATGTCCAGTTAATATAACATACTATATAATGATAGATTAGTTGACTAAGCAACTATGAAATGTGTTCTAAGGCAAAACAGTGATTTGGGGCTCACTTTTCAAGATGGCGGACGCATTGTTCTCTGAAACTCCTAATGCATGTATATTCTTCGGAACCCCCTTAATAAAAACCGGATCCTCTGACCATAACTGAGCTCATAGCTAGAGGTTCGAGCTGAAAGCGCTACGTTACACAGGCATTCAATGCGGTCGTAAATTCGATTTTTCATATATGGAAAATGAAGTGACTTCAAATATCCATTCGCAATCCGTCTCCACCCGTCGTTTTAAACCTTGAATCGTACAATATCTCAATAATGGATAATAAAGAGTATGTTTTTGCTTATGTCATGTAGTATTTTTTCTGCTCAAACATAAACAAAAGCTCAAAAAAGGGATGCTGGCGAAGCATGGGACTACTACATGATAAAAACTTACTGTTGCGTCCTTTAAGAATTACAAAACAGTCCTGGATTTGTGTTTTCAATCCTAGCTGTGAAGATAATAGGTAAATAATATATATCTTTAACACATTTTAATTTTAAAATTAGCGAAAATCATTATTTCCTTTCAACTGAGCGCGCGAACGAGACTTGGTGTCACAGCACAGTTTGCATGTCTTCTTATTGACACGCACTAATGAGCCAATCAGCGCGCCAGAATTCACACCAGTATGGTAAAAATTTCAATTATGTTAATGAATATGCTCGACTTACAAAGCCATATATGATTGGTCCATAGATATGCTGCGCCAAATAAGGTATGATCCAAGTCTGYGTATCCTTAATGCGACGAATATCAGGATGCTAAAGAGTAAATCAAGAACTCRGTAAGATAATTCTAATATATTTTTGACTTTTTAAGTAATAAAGAATAAATTTACGTGATCTCTTGGCGAATAGATCATGCAGGATCTTTGGAAAACGTGAAAAAGGCGGAGAAAATCTCGTTTGAGAAATCACGGAAATTTATTCTTTATTCCTTTTTTTAAACTTTAAAAATATTTAATGATTTTAAAACAACGAAATTATTGTAAATTCTAAAAATAGTCGATGATAAGAAAATTCCTTGTAGACGCTGCCAGAAGCGAGTGTGCATCTATCCGTGAAATAGTACATGGGTTTTGAGTGTTCTCGRCCAATCACATCGCGCGTACTATTGTAGCTATATTATAAACTATGATAACCAGTTTAGCTGTTATCGTCATTGTCATTACTTTCAAAGTTTGTCAGATAATAGTATGTTTCTATTGCTAGTGTTCTTTCGCGAGTTCTTGCAAAACATCGATTCGATTCAACTGAAACTAACATTATTACAACAATATCAAAAAACTACGCGAATAATCAATTCAATAATTTTCCTACAAGCTTTTACAAGTAGCCTAATGGCCAGTTAACTCTATGACACAAGCAGAAACACACGCAGAAGCTGGTTAATACTTGATATAAGGACTTATGTCGCTCTGGTTCACGATCACTTGATTTTTCAATGTGAGCATATAAGAAGAATCATAAGAAAAAGGAAAAACAATCTTGTTTCTTTTTGTGTTTATGTTTTTCCCAGTTTRCACGTATAAAATTCCCTTCTTCTGCTTCTGGTAATGTCGTAGTGTAAGCCTGCCCTAGCATTATTGTTGGACATTCATCACGATGAGTAATTAATRGCGGCAGCTTACCTTTTCTGCTGTGGAAATGTCCGGATCACTTCCCTCAATGTTTGTGTATGGGTGGTGACCAAACACGTGCTAAAAGGAAAAACATTTCCATTTTCAGCAATTGGACATATATTGTTTTTATTTTGTGGTCTCAAAATAAGATGCAATTGAGATTTGAAAGTGGGGAATAGTCTTCTTCACGGTTACCTGCGCCATCTTGAAAGGTAGCCGTGCCTTTGCATCGAAGCGAGACAACCGTTGAGCGTGCAATGATAGAAACCTTCTTTCACACCTACAGACAATTATTCACAGGTATCTATCATTGCACGCTCAACGGTTGTCTCGCTTCGATGCAAAGGCACGGCTACCTTTCAAGATGGCGAAGGTAACCGTGAAGGAGACTATTGATTACTAGGCGGAATTCCTAAAATTTCAAAAATTCATTTTTCTACCTGTAACATCCAGACATGCCAGGAAGCACCAAGGAAAAAGTTATGCATGCCAACGCCAATGGTCKTCCATACCCACGGAGAGTGAGTGATGGCAAAATGGCTTCAACAAGACAAAACAGATTTTTCTCTTCATGACTATATAACATTTACAATCATATGTCGAAAACAATTGCCCTATTTCATTATGACGTCACATCAAAAYATTCTATACAAAATTTAACGTAATCTAATGCATGTTATTTGCTTGAAAATATCTAATTCAGGGCTGTATTCTCAAATCAGGAAGGCACTTTCCCTTCAGCCGCCTACCAGGAATCATGGACGTGAGTCATAGCTATCAGAGACATGAACCACCCTGTTGTTATACCAGCGATAGTGGACCAGAGGAGACTATCAGCTAACCAAGCCTACGAAAATAGATGAAAAATGTAAGAATAATGGCTCGATAAACTTAATAACATCGCGTCCAGCTGCCATGAGCAAATCATCTCGGCCCACAGTTGCTGATCTATAAACTTTGTTACACCTAATAATAACATATAGAAATAAAGGAAAGTTGCACTGCTGAAAAAGAGGTTATTCCGGGAGAAAGACTCTTAGAAAAAGGACCAGTATCCTGGGTTCGAATCCCAGCGAGGTCGGAAATTTTTTTTTCCGAATTTATTTCCAAGGGTTTTTCTCCCAGAATAACCTCCTCCTAAGCACTATAACTTTCCTTTATTTCTATATCATGTATTTATAGTGCCATTCGGTCCTCATATTCATATCTAATAATAGCATAGACCAGAAGTACATATGTACTTCTGTATAGACTTAAAACATATTAAATCTGCATAATATAATTGACTCTGACACATTTTGTATATATTTTCTTAGCAGAGATCACACGAAAGAAATAAAGGTCAATACCAATATCTGGATAAACCTCTTATTTATTAATTCTTAAGGTCTTCATCAGTAGAAAGGTACCTAAAAACTAATAATTATGATAACTAAACGAGTGATATATACCATCTGGGCGTACATCAGTGCCAGCGTTAGAAGTGGGAGTAAAACGATACGAATCCACATCGTCTCGGGGTCCTTTGGATCCTACAAAATGAAATACCAAAAACGAATATGAAACCAAATGGCTAAAAGGAAGAGGTTGTGCTAGTGGTCGGTTCTTGCTATAGTGCATGAGATCAGTGARAAAGGGAAAAGAAATGGTGCAGCCTTAGTTTATTTGCTCTGCTTCCTTCACCATTTCTCGTCTTCATAATGCACGAGGGTAAACCCTTTTCTATCTCAACTCAAACTTGTGAGAATAGGCCTTGATAAATAGATCATGTGTGTATCCCACTAAATATATGATTACTTGAAAAATTAGCTGCCCCTGTTAACACTATTGCTGTTCCTATTGTTTCTTATTGTTATCAAACGCTCTCTTACAGAGTCTTCCTCGCTAAATATATGATTACATGAAATATGAGTTGCCCCTGCTAACACTTTATTACTGTCCCTTTCCGAGCACATGTTGACACACCTTAYTGTTGTCTTTGAAGTACTTCTTTACTCTTTCTTTGACAGTCTTGTGGAACAGTCTTGGTTTGAATTGGACCAAAATAGCGCATGGAAGAAAWTTGGAAAGAAAAAAGTAAGTAAGGATGTAAAGTTAGAAAATTTGATTATTTCTTAAGGACTTCGATATCGATGATTTTAGGACTAATTTAAAACTGTCGCGATATCTAGAAAAAATGGAATCTGAATTCTCGGCCAAACAACAAATCAAAAGTCAAAGTCTTGTGTATCAGAACAATACAGGAGTAAATCAATAATACTTTCTCACCCTGGTTCCGGATAGGTTGGATATTTATGAGATATCAGTTCTCCAACATAGTACTTCGCAAGGACTCTAATCAAAATCAATATAAAACAATGACTAATGGATGATTAGTGAAAGAGGCGGAACTAGAAAGTTTTGTGGGAGGGAAGGGGGRTCATAGAAAGATTGTATATCTCTGTTAATCTGCTACCTGAATTAAACAGGTCTTATAAATATATGTTTTATTGCAAAACGTAAAAACTCTTCGAAAGGAATAGTGATGCGTTCATGACCAGAAAAACGAATTTATATAGAGTAGTATTTACTAATATTTAGTAGACTTGAGAGCCGGCTCGTTGCACATGGTCAACAAAAGCTCGCGAATGATGAACGCGGAATAATTGATTGATTATTCGTCGATATACATAGAACTGAACCACTGAACTATGGCAGTGCGGCTTCGTATTTATATCAACAGTAGTAATTCTTCCGCTTCACTTGTTTCTGCTGATTTTTTATCATGATTTTTTATCAGGATTTGTTAATAGTAAAAATGACTTTGACAACTTGATCATAAAAACTTCCTATATTAGAAGAGAACCATTAGTACACCTAAAAACTACCATAAAGTTGTGATATTCATGACTTGACATGCACCAAGCGTTGCTGAAATGTTCAGCTGCATAAATTGTCATTAAATAGCTTAGTGGCAAAGACTACGACAAGCTACAGATTTATACAAGTGTTAGAKACAGCACCATATAAATTGTTTTTTGTAAAACGTGAAAAATAAGTAATACTTTTCACGAGTTGCGCATTTTGTAAATAATAACGATATGACGTCATATGATTCAAAAATCTCTGGTTAGATAAATGACGTTCCAGGAACCTTTTCGGCAAAGTGATAGGATGGTAGGCAGGATTTTTTTTTATCTACGTGTTGTTTTTTTTGTCCAAAAAGTATGGCCATGTTTACAAGAATAGACCTCTTTCCGACCTCTTTCCCTCATGGACGAAAGGTCTACGTGTCAGTTAGCCCGTTCGGCGTTGTGCATCACCGCTTGACTTGTTCTTTTGGTGTTTTAATGAAGCTTATTTGTTCAATTTGGGTAACGAACGTCAATAACATATTGAATTTGTTGTTTATGGATCAATGAAMATCTATATAAAAGTTATTTTAGGTTATTTTTTTAAATTTGTCCGACCTTTTAGAGTCATCCTGACAGACTTATCAATGGTCAATCCCTTTAGTGTAGACCAGTTGCAAAGCAAAGTCGTGCGCAAWAACTGTTTTTACCGTCACAGTTTAATTGATGCTTTGGCATCTGTACGTAAACTTAACCTTATATTTCAAAGAAGAAAAGGAGAACTGCGATTATCGAAGAGAAATTGCATAACCGAAAGGAACGCTGTTTGAAATATCAAAATTTCACTTTCGGGTTCACACTCTGTGTGAAATGGAGACTAAATGGAGCCAATGTTTTCAYACAGACTATACAGTATAAATCAGTTCTTATTTCTCATCAATTACCAAAACCCATGGCTCTCTTTTCTCCGGGTTTCCTCTGTTCGACAGAATTGCCACTCGCCATTTTCGATCCGATAACCTTTTCACGACTTGAACGTTTCCCTGACATTTTGACCACTGAAGCTGAACACTTTCATTTATTGTATATCCATTAATTCCTTAATACTGCAAAAGGTCTTTTTTCTTGGACAACGTATTTGTAATTAGATGTGTATGATATATAGTTTTGTTTTTATTTGATACGTACTTTGGCGCTCTGTCTGAAAGGCCGTGGTAGGATTCAAAAACCAGGGTAACATCGCGTCCAGCTGCCATGAGTAAAGCATCTCGACCCCCAGGGTGCTGATCTATAAACTTCGTTACATTATACACCTAATGATATAGACCTAACATGTTAAATCTGCATAATATAATCAACTTTTTTATTTTATATCACACACAAGATCACATTCGAATAGAGACGTCGAACTGACGATCGCGCGGGTTCGTTCCCTCTAGTCCGGTCTGTTAGCGCAAAAAATTGTCGCTATCGTGCAAATCCATACTCGGCTCGAGCACTTCTAAATAATTCTTTTTCTTCCTTTCTTTTTTTAACTGTAAAATAAACTCGAAGTGACTTTCCATTTTTCAAATTCTCAGAGGCAATCCGAATGCTAAATTGTCGCTGCACTGATAAAAAATTTCCAGAATAAATGATGGGAAAAGATTATACTCAGAATCGATCAAATCAAACACGGTGCTGTTAAAAATATATCCCAAGGCAAAATTCTATACACTTAACGCATTACTAGAAAGCTAGTGGTTCTCGTTTACACGAACCGGCCATTGAAGCATGAGTTGGCCAAAAGTTTTAAAAATTACGAAAAAAAAGGAAAATTCTATGACTATAACATGAAACACGTAACACGTTTGTGTTTTTCCAAAAAGCGTCGAGTTGCCAGTGCTAATTATAAAAAGAAATCAAGAACTAAATAATGTTTAAGGAATCTTATGGGCCATTATGCAATGATCCTTAGCGTAATAAGAACATGTACTAGCCTTTTGCCTGATCGCAACATAAGCATCAGATTCGTTGTTTTTTTGCCTTAGTTCTTCCCATGTAAACGTAGACTTGCTCATGACTGAGTCCAGGTGAGAGACAAACAAGAGACTTTGGTATTACTGCCAGCAAGTAATCAAAAATTACTCGGAATCAGTCGATCAAGAACTTGGCCTACAAATAAATTATCTATGCATATTGTACTGCCAAGTCAACTGTAAACCTAGAAACAAACTGATGGCGTTACGCATGACAACTGTAACGCAAAGGTAATACAAACTAGACGCTCTTGGAGCGTGAAGTCGGACTAGCTATGTTTGAATGTATATCATGGCGTAGAATATTATATTTTTTACTTCTAATACATAGTGAAAGAAAGAATGCGTGACCGTTTATTCACACGATACGATATTCTTTTCGACTGCTCTCTGCAACGACTTCAAAACGATAGAAATCTAAATTTTGACCTAAAAGGTCATGTAATTAATACTTAGATTCAAATTGTTGACATCTCAGGCCAAGAAAATAAATACTTTTAAAAAGATGCCTATAAAATAATCAAAGTCGCCTTTTTGTTATTGATCAACAAAGTTTCTTCTTGTTCTAATTTGAAATCTTTGCCCAAACAAGACTGTCTAGCCCTAGAGTTCAGTTCCGTAAGCATACTACTCGAAGCTCCATGCGATCCGCACATGCGCGTACTTGTGATGGCTAGACTGATGCATTCCGATGAGATCACAGATACCACATTTGTAAACGAATAGTTTTTTTATCACATAAAAGCGCAAGTAGAATCTGACATTTAAGTAACAATGCGCTAAAGAACTAGGGAACTCTCTATTGTTCTGCGGCATAACGAGTTCCCCATGTAAGAATGTCTTGGTTTTCACACTGATTATGTATTAACCTGTGGGTAACACATTTTTGAAATAAAATGTGGATAAACTCTATAATTTGAAACAAAGTTTCTTTTGTATTAAAAGCTCTTATCCAATCATAAGCACTCAAAACAATAGCCAAAAGATGCTTCTAATTTGCAATGTTTCCCACATAGAATTGCCTTAATATTGAAGCTAAAGAATGCTTCCATGAAAGCGAAAACAGACATTAAATAAAATATTAGAAAATTCCCTAACTTGCGAAATTATAGCAGATTTTCATGTTTTAACCAATGGGATGGATGGATTATACAATGCACAATTAGCACCTTCTTGCATTCCTATGCCGTTTGCTTCCCTAGTTCTTACTCGGGGCATTACTTAAACTAACGATATATTTGTACATCTATACGTTTGAGCTTCCGGTCATGTAATAACACAGCTAACCCAATAGTTAATTATTAAATTCTTAACTTCCGGTGGTCCAAACGCGACATGAAACATAGATAGATAGATAGATTGGCTAAAAGGTAAAACTTAAGTCGACCTAGCCTTCGGCTAGTCCGACTAACGAGAACCACTTCGTGTAACACACCGTGTATAGAATTTTGCCGTGGAATATATTTTTGTCAGCACCGTGATTGATTTGATAGATTCTGCGCTCCCATCATTTATTCTAAATATTTTTATGCATTGCATCGAAAATTCAGCATTCGGATTGCATTCTAATTGTATTTTGAAAATTAAGAGATGAATCAGAATAGACAGTTCATTGAGAAAATTCTGTTTTGGTTGTCAGTATTTACATTATTTATAGAGGAAGACTATCTCGCTCTAAGTTATATTCCTAAAATCCAGCACTTCACTTTTCAAGCATTGTAATTTTTGAGGAGTCATTGCGATGTCAATCACAGCGTTCGTGTAGATGTCTGAGAGTATACCCCACATAGCTCTCATCACAAAAGCCACATTTGAATTCGTATTTGTAGCGAAAGTCATTATTGAAGCTTTATCATTGTGGCAAATAAGTACATGTTCCGTTTGACACTGGAACTAGTTAGTGCATACATCCCAAAAATCGTTTGCTCAGTAATCACAACTAAATAGTTGGACGCAAATATCAACTTTCGTGTCTCAATATGTAATTTTTKTYTYWWMASWKTYKCRMAWMTYWWAAAAAAAACACCTTCTGTAAATTGAACAATGAATGTGAATATCTACATAGTGCTGGAGGTGATATGGTCACTCGATTTTAACTTTGAAAGCATCGTTTAAAAAAGTCATACATATTTTTTTGATGAGGTTTAATGTTTTAGTCCTCTGAATAATTGTTCTTCTGTAAATGTATGAATCTTATATATYCATGTGATTTCTTATTTTTCAAGATTTGTGATTGTTTGGCATCGAACACTTGTTGTGCTCAAGTTGGCAGTAGAAAATGCAAAATTTCTGCATAAGTCAGCCAATAATCCTGAATTATATATCTCCTTTCATGTCTGTTGGATAATAATCAGTTCAGATTTTATGCATAATTTTCAGCTCTTTTGAGCGTTTTAGCTGCATTTTAGAGCCATCTAAAACAAGACAACTGTTTGCCGCTGTCTGTCCGCCATTTTGTCTTCATCTCAAAGTTKAATATTAATGTTTTGACGTCATGCTATTGTGACATCATATTGTTACAGACACTCTTACATCGGGCAATARCATAGTGGATACTCCACGTCCTAAGGAGGGGAGTAACCACAAAAATGAAGCCTGACACATGGCAGCTATTGAATCTTGAATATTATTGTGAAAAGTTTGCTTTTTATATCATGTTTTATCAAGATTTATATCATCTTTGGCTAGGTCCTTGAATATGCCAGAAATTCCCCCGTTTTTATGGGTTTCCTGTGGAATGGCTMGTGATGCTTTGCGGGCCTAGTGTTATGGCGGACTGTGAAGTTGTTATATTGCACGTGGATTCATAAAATGACATAATTTGAAGGTAAAAATGTTTAAAACTACTTATATTTCGACGTTGCTCTTATCCTATTGTCAATAAGATCTTATTAGACATTAAATATGTTGGTTTACTTGACATTTTAGGGTAAATATATGAACATGTTCCTTTCTGACATGACGGAGGCTAAAACGACGTCGAAGTTCGTTGAGTTGTGTGGAGGTTAAAGAGTTGGTAAGAATAGCTCTAGATATTACATGTATAAGGAAGTCATGGAATTCATTGTTAGGATCGTGAATGAAGTAAGGAGGAGTCAAATGTTATAATAGAAACAATAGAAACAGGGCCATCCCCCTTCCAATGCATCATGGGTAATGTAAGCTTGTCAATTGAATGTCTTGTAAACAAACAAGCCATTGTTTTAGTGGTATCTTTATTCAATGTACGCATTGTCAATTTTATTGAAGCTGTGCTACCAAGACTGATTTTGCTAAATGTGTTTAGCAGTATGCATTTGACTGAGATATAATTGATATAGTTCAATAGAGAACAAAAGCTTACAGCAAAGGAATCCATTTTCAAAAGATTTGAGCCAACCGTACATTTGCTTGTTATTTCTGTATATGAAGAAGCACCTAGTATTTATTACTATTATGTCAGTACATGGTATCAATCTGAATATAAAACTAACTGATTGGTCCCAGTAACCATTTTATGCTCAGATACAACTCACCAGGTAAGAGTACTTTCAGCCTAAACATGCTGTACTACACAACGTGTAAATCACTGGTTCTGCTACCTTGGTTACCTGTCCAATTGATGTTTTTGATGGGGGTAGGGGGAGTAATTTGTGTTACATGTTTGTACTTTGCAAGCAAAATTGTTTGCAAATAAGCAAGGACTGTAGAGTATGATGGTGTAATGATGGATTGACCAATCATGACTTATATTAGAATCAAACAAAATGAGAACCAATCACAAATTAGTTTATATGTTAAGGGATAGGTGCAGTAACTTGTCATAACAGTTACTGGAAATATTGGAAAATTCAAAGGCCCCATTGTTTCTAATTGATTTAAGACCAGTGAATTTGAATATTTTTGTCTTCTTTTCATAAGTATCTTAGTTACTACTAGATGAGCTTTGGATTTGGTGGAAAAGAGTTCTTTTCTTAGATGATCTGCTATGAATCTTTTTTATGTTAATTGATGTGTTTGCCCAGCTTTGTAGGTTTTGAGAGAAGTGTAAGAAATTTACTTATAAAGTATTGTCCGAAGGAAAATTTTTTTGATATGTCATGAGTAAATTTTGGAAGTTTTGTTGATTAAGGAATACAGCAAGCTTACAATTGCATTTCTTGTTGAAGATATCGTCAAGAAATGTTGTAGTTTGACCTGTACCTGCTATGCATTTAACATCTAGACATCACCAAATCATGTGTTCTTAAACTTGTCATAGCAAGAGTGTTGCAGCTTGACCATTAATGGTAATACCTGGAAATAAACCTCTAAGATGACAGGACTAGGATTGAATTGAATGTGAATGATGTCTTGTTTGTTGAAAATGAGAACTTTCTCCAAAAAAACTTAAAAAGTGCAAGTTTTACCTTCTAAAATAATTAAAAGTTCAGCTCATTTACTTTTATGTAGTATCACCAAACTTTTCTCTAGACAAATTCCAATCAAATTGATTTTATAGCAAAGTTAAAGTTTTTTTCCTGATCTTACATATACTTTGATAGCGCACCAATCTTAAGCAAAGTTGTTTCAGAAAGGTGTACTTTTTTTAGTTGTAGCTCAGCTGGTAGAGCATTAGTAGTACAAATCCTGTGGGTTTGAATCCCAGTGAGGTCGGAAATTTATTTTTTAGAATTTATTTCCAAGGGTCTTTCTCCCAGAATAACCTCCTTCATAGTACTATAACTTTCCTTTATTTCTATAACTTTATGAAAGCTCACAAGAGATTCATCAGTGAGACTTAAAGTATATAGTCCACCAGATTGTTGTATCTCAATATTTCTTTTCTTTGATGTTTTCCGTTTGAATATCATAGTATGCAGGAAATTACATCTCACTACTTGTACTTATCAATCTTCTATGATACTTTCCTTCAGTAGAGCAATGTGTCGATTGAAATAAAAAAAACTGTTAAAATTATAATCTTGAGATAAAAAATTTAAACTTTAAAACTTTATTCATTGTGGAATGAAAAAAAAGTTGAAGTAAAAAGTGTAATTATTTATCTATTTTATTTACAATCTAATGGAGAGAGGTTTGCTGCCATCTTGTGAAGCAAAACTGATATGTTTGGATGTTGCAATGATGGACAAAGCAATTACCTAATCCACTGTCAACAATGCA